CCCCAAAACCCCAAAACCCCAAAACCCCAAAACCCCAAAACCCCAGCCCATTGACTTCAATTGAAACACAAAAATCCGGAAAATTCACAAAAAACTTTAAAATCACTAATATTCTCCAAAAATTTCCATAACTTCTAAAAACATGAAAGTTTCTAAATTTGAAAAATTTTCAAAATTTTCAAAATATTCTTCAAACGAGCCGAAACCTAGCCAACTTCTTCGTGATTTTTATGCATAATTTCTTCATAATTTTGGATGGGCTTGCATTAAATAGAGAGTAGAAAATTAGAAATTATTAAAAATTCTGGCACTTTTCGATAAGTCTGGGTAGTACTTAGGTACATAGGGACACTATGGTATTATGAAACCTTCCCTGAATCAAACTGCAGAGACGAATAAGACTGAAGCTAGCTAAGGTTCTTAGCTATCCAAACTTAAGGTTGGTAATTAAATCAACTCTTTCATTAGCTGGTGTTTGGAATAGTATGGTAGGGGAAAACATAGAACGTGGAAATTCATTTCAGAGATATTTTTATAAGAAAAGGACCCTAAGAGATGATTCTGAAAACTAATACCGTTCGTCTACCATGCTTAGAGTTAGAAAAACAATTCTGAGTTTTATTATTTATTATATGTCTTTATAGTAAGCACATGCAAAGAGAGATTATTCAACAAAAGTTCTTTCTATTAAGAAATCATAATTGACAGAAATTCATATAGCCTTTTCTAAGTGCAAAGAAATAATTTTTCTCATAAAAATTAGTGAAAATTAGTACATGGGTTCAGTCAACTGTATTATAATTGAAAATTAAGATTTTAGTTTTTATTCCTATTTCTTAGGAGATAAAACTGGTGATCATGGCTTAGAGACTTTTGATAACCTTGCCGCTCTTTCCATCGATTATGTGAAGCTGGATGTGCTCGCCGAGGAAGTCGTCCAGGCCATCGTCGCTGGAGTCTGAGTCTGATGAAACAGAGCGGTGATCACCATCTTCTGAGTCTGAGTCTGACACAGACTTTGAGGATCCCATTCAGGTTGATCCTTCTGATGCTCTAAAAGTGAAGTTCTTCTTCAAGATTATTGTTCTTTCAATTTCAACTTCTTCTTTTTGAGGCTTTACTACAGTAAATTTGCATTTAAGGGAGTTAAAGTGAGAAATCTCACTTTTTGCTGCCAATAAAAGCTCATTTCTGATTCTTCTCACTGTGTCCTGGCTTGAATCAAAGATGACTTTCTTCGCTGCAGGAGTTTCTAGCTTTTCAAGGCCAAAAAAGACTTGTGTTTGTGTAATTTGTCTAGAGCTCATTACTTGTTTCATATTATTATATTTAGCGATAATTTCTAATTGATATAGGCCAATGGGGTTTTGGGGTTTTGGGGTTTTGGGGTTTTGGGG